GAAATTTCACCCCCCCCCCCCCCCACGCTACGCCACTGATTGTTCTAAACCACCGTCCTCAGCAAGTAATGTTACCGTAGGAAGGTTTGACGCTGGCTGTGATGCACGTGGGCGCGCCGGCGTGCGGCATGAATGCGGCCGTACGTTCGTTTGTACGGAATTGTATTTACCGAGGCGATACCGTGCTTGGCATTCACGACGGCATTGAAGGTTTCATTAACGGGAACATCGTCCAAATGGAATGGTAAGTGAATTGTGTACTTTATTATTATTATTGTAGAATAGAGATCGCAGCGCATAAAATTAAACTTCCACTATTTCAAAATCTTTTTTTATAATAATAATTAATAATTAACACTTATTACGTCTTGCTCATTTTTCAACCGTCTTCACCATCTTCCAATTCTCTGTCATTCTGTCTGTCATTCTCTTCTCCCTTTCTTTCCGATTTCACTCTTAACTTCTCATCTTAACGCTCCGTTCCACGCTTTTTTCATACGTTCCGTTTTTACCAATCCTACATTATTGGTGTGGATGGGAGGACGAGCACTCGGTCTACTGTCTACGAAGCGACTGCGGGATCATAGGAACGGAGCTCGAAGTCTCATTTCTTTGTTTATCCTGTATAGTTGTATTTTTTTTGTATAAGTAATAATTCAAGAAGGTTTTACGCCAATGCCTGTTTTTTTATACTAAACAATTTTGACAAGAAAGAAAATATCGAGAAAATAGTTAGGTGATTCCTAATTGGCGTAATTTTTGGGAAAATAACTAGGGGAGATGGCAGCAGTACATTTTTTTTCTTTTCTATTGCTTAGATGGGAGGACGAGCTCACAGCCTGGTGTTAAGTGGATACTGGAGCCCATAGACATCCACAACGTAAATGCGCCACCCACCTTGAGATATAAGTTCTAAGGTCTCAAGTATAGTTACAACGGCTGCCCCACCCTTCAAACCGAAACGCATTACTGCTTCACGGCAGAAATAGGCAGGGTGGTGGTACCCACCCGGGCGGACTCACAAGAGGTTCTACCATCAGTACTATGTAATATCCCTCAGGTCGGATGTAACGGGTTGGGTTGCTCAAGGAGGCGCTTTTCTTGGTACAAAGAGGACTTTGCCCGGCAATAGGAAGAGTGACATCGCTGCGCGGATAAAGCAGTTCAATATTCAAGGCTTACTCATCATCGGTGGTTTTGAGGTAGGTTTCGTTTATACATGTGAACTGTTTGTGTGAGCAGCCCTACAAACGGCGCTAAGTTTCAAACTTTTGTTATCCCACCTGGTGCGGTTACTCGAGCCCATAGATACAAGGTAAATACATACAACGGCTGCCCCATGCTTCAAATCGGAATGCATTACTGCTTTACGGCAGAAATAGGCGGGGTGGTGGTACCCCTGCGCACTAAGAAACGTCCTACCACCAGTAAAAAACTCGACTGTTTGAATTATTTGAGATTGATATGAGAAATTGTCAGGATTCTTTCTTTGTCGATAAATGCCATTTTATCCCACAAGCTACGTTTTTTTTTATTTTAATTTGAAAATTTCAGTAATTATTTTTTGTGTTTTATCGTCGATTATTGCCGATATATATATCGAGGGGTGAATGTTATTTCGTTTATGCGACATTTTTTCAACTTTACAGGAGAGTCAAATAAAGTAAAAAATTTGGAAAAATTATCATAACAACTAACTTCTCAAACTATTTGAATAGAGAAAACTTAAAGTTCAATATAAAACATCGAACTGTTGATGCTGATATCAAATTAAACGCACCTTTAATTAAAAATACAAATGTCGCGTATTTAGCTAAATGTCACTTAAACTAAATAGCTTTTCAAGCCTAGATAATGTCGCATAAAAATTCTTGTCAAAAAAAAGTAATCGAATGTTCAAGGCCTACCAAGCTAGCTTGGAACTATACGAATCTCGCGCTGAATTCCCGGAGTTCTGCATTCCTCTGGTCGTCATCCCGTCCACGATAAGTAACAACGTGCCCGGGACGGATTTCTCTCTGGGAGCCGACACTGCGCTCAATGAAATAACTGAGATCTGCGATCGCATTCGTCAGTCGGCACAGGTACGTCGTTCAATCTATTAAAGTAAACGTTTTAAAATCTTCTGTTTTAATTATGTAATCGAATTTGTAAAATTGTAGTTCCTTTGCGGACGCATTGTGGATACTAGAATGGTTGAACCAATTCGGTTGTTACTTCTGAAAAATGTATTGTTTTGTTTTGAATGCTTACACTTGCACAGAATAAAAACATCAAACGACAGTGAAATTGACTGATTTTTTTGTAGAACAAAACTGTAATATTGTTTCGTACAAACTAAACTCAATTCAACCGATAAAAAACGAAACTATGCACAAATAAAAATAAAAAAAAGCCTTAAAATGTTTATTTTATTTTAGACAGATAGAATGATGATAGTATTAGAAACTCCTGAATCAATATAATATTAAACTACCAAAAACCAAACTAAAAGGCACTTTGCAGAGAAGGCAGTAAAAACACCTAATAAATATTCAATCACTGACTTGTGATTTAGCCCCAGTTTTTATTTAAAATTAAATTATGATCAAATTAATCGAAATCTTATGTTAGAATATGTGCCCCTTATTTTAGTTATTTCTTGCGTTGCTCAATTTTTACGTGGCAACCTTAATTATTTTCGAAAAAACAATCTTATTTATGCTCTCTAAGAATCCTCCACTATAACGAAAACAAGTCCGGTTGTATTAATTTAACTCTGGTTACTTCTAAATACATAAATTACTTTTGGAATGTAGTTTTGTTTACGTTACACATGAAATCTAAAGACGCCCAGCATATAATAATTTATTAATGAAAATGATGGCACAGTTCCTTCAGCTGTTTCGGAAGTGTAATTAATTGATGACTATTAAAGAAATTTGTTAACGCATTGTAAATATTTTGTCAGGGTACCAAGCGCCGTGTGTTCGTCATCGAAACCATGGGCGGGTACTGCGGTTACCTCGCTACGTTGGCTGGTATGTATCGAAAGCACATTTTACCGATAATTTAATAATTAAAAAGGGGGTGAACTTAAAACAACTTAGTACGCAGAGGGAGGTTATTGGAAAATTGGAACGATAAAATTGAGCAACATTTTAACTAAAGTGCGCGTGGAACTAGTTGGCCGCGCCGTAGGTGGCGACAGGGGTCAGGGGGCGGGTTGCGTACTGCTCGTAACCCACATAAGATTAGACAGTAATGACTAAATAAAAAATAAATGAATACACGAAATAATATATAAATAAAAACAAATGAACTTTTAGAAGTTTATATTGTACCCATCTAATTATATTGTAATTAACAGTAAAATAAACCAAAACCAAATTAAGTTTATGAAATTATTCTGACATATTTTAATGATATATGAAATTATTTCATTAATATACTATACTTATATGAAATTACTCTGACATATCCTCTGAAGCACTTGATCCTGAACTCTCTGAAGTTGATTCAGAATCATCTTGTAAGATTATAATGATTTCGTCCATCATAGTATCAAATCTCATATCAGTAATGACAGCAACACTCCCGCCTCTGAGTCCCACCGCTCACATAGCTAAGGCGCGGCCAACTAGTTCCGCGCGCACGATATTGTAATCTGCGAGTGTACAGTATTGTGTGAGCATTATGCGGCTTCAATGTAGTTTGCTAAGGTTTTAGTTATGAAGGAGTGATTCAGTCATACTTTGTGAGGCATAAAGCTCGGTCCACACAATCTTGAATCTTTATGACTTCGTCAGAGCCGAACCTGTTTGAATATACTTAATTCATTTTTATAGATGATGCGTCATCCAAACACCATGATAGTTTTCGGTTTCAATAAAGGTATTTTCCAGAAAATGGGCAATAGGTTCTCCGAGCATTATGCCAACATATTGCGTTCGTCAATTAGAATTGACTGATGGTAGAGCCTTTGTACAATACAATCATGATGTCAACCTCATGTTTTATGATAGGTGGGGCATAACAGTCGTGATGTCTATGGGCACCGGGAACCAGCTTAAACCACATGGGCGATAAAAACTAATATGCAATGAACAATACGCTTTTAATCAAAACGAAATAGGTTTGGCCGGCGGTGCTGATGCCGCATACATTTACGAGGAGAAGTTCTCCATCAAGGATCTGCAACAGGACGTTTATCACATGGCGTCTAAAATGACCGGCGGCATACAGCGTGGCCTCATCCTGCGCAATGAGAAAGCGAACGATAACTACAACACTGAGTTCATTTACCGACTGTATTCTGAAGAGGGCAAAGGACTATTTACAGCTCGCATGAATGTGCTCGGTGAGATATATAAATTAATACTAAATCTTTATATTTTTAAGACTGCAAGTATTTTTCGTGCATTTTTGTTTTGTACTTAATTACTAGTAGGCTTGAGGGGCTATTCTGGTTTCACCGAAACGGTAAGTGAGCTCACGGGACTCAGCTTGAAAGACTTTGTTAACATCTGAGTGTACAAACGGATCGGAATCTCGACCCACTGAGAACATCCGGCGAGAAAAATCAACGGGTAAATCGAGCAAGTTGGACGCCATAGACAAATGCTATTGTGTGAGGTTCACTAATATTCATATGACAATGTTACTAGTGTAAACCGATCACGATCCACTGTACTTCAACAAAAACCTTCCCTGAAGTACCCACAAACATTGTCCATAAAGACTAAACTCACAAAGAAATATTAATTTTTCTGCCGTATCTATTTTTTTACGGCCCACCTGGTGTTAAGATATTACGGAAACCCATAAAAATCACGATGTAAATGTCGCCTTCCACCTCGAGACCGATGTCTCATTCCCCTCTCTCTCTGCCCCATTTTCCAAAATACAACGCACGAATGCTGCGGTAGAAAATAAGCAGGATGGTAGTAACGTAGTAATAAGTTTAATTATTCCTCCTGTTTGCTACCGCAAAGCAAGGATTGTTTCTCATTTGAATATTGCGATAGAAATATAAAAGAATTGAGACTTTGAACTCAAGTTTTAGAGGCGATGATGGCATTTACGTTGTAATGTCTATTGACTCGACTAAACTCTAACACCACGTAAGGCGTCTCTTTTACCAATCTAGTACAATAACAAAAGAGCTACTCTGATAATAGCAGACGAGAATAACACGAAATAGTCTACTTGCATTTTGTAAATAAAGTTTCTCGATTATCATTCGATCAATTCGTGTGATTTAAACATTAGATCTACTATAATCCTACACAGTAGCGAGAATCTCGGAAAGCTCCTTGTTATCAGTCTCTATTTGCTTATTCGTTATAATTTACATTGAAATTATTTTGCAGGTCACATGCAACAGGGCGGCTCTCCGACGCCATTTGACCGTAACATGGGTACTAAGATGGCGGCCAAATGTCTTCATTGGCTCGTTGAGAAAATTCAGGAAGGTCCCTCGAATTCTGCCGACTCTGCTTGTTTACTTGGTGTTGTTAAACGCCAGTACAAATTCACTCCACTCGAAGAACTCAAAACTCAAACTAATTTTGCGTAAGAATTAAAGTTTTCCGCTTAAATATTTTTTTTTAATATATTTTATTAGGAAATCTTTGTCACTCTCGTCTGTGCTACGTATACAAACTGTAAAGTGAATGTTTCAGTATCAGAAGCAAGAATAAACTAGTCTTAAATATTTTATTTATTTATTGCATACGAGATGACAATGCGTAAAGCATACCTTGGGATACCTGAGGTCTATATCTCAATATATTGTAACCTATTTATAAGTGTTATTTGAAATATATTGAATTTGTTTCCAGTCAAAGAATAGCAAAACAGCAATGGTGGATGAAACTGCGTCCATTGCTTCGTATCCTGGCGAAGCACGATTCTACATACGAAGAAGAAGGAATGTATATGACAGTTGAACAAGGAGAAATCGACTCTGAGAACGTTATTTAAACAGCATTTCGGTGCTTAAATTTGAGATTATTTATAAATATATATTAAATGTGATATTACGCATCACAGGTACGAATAAGTAGATTGATGAAATTCTTATCGAATAATGTTATATTCTATAACGTGCGACATTATATTTCTTATATCCCTCAAATAAATCATGCTACTTATATTTTTGTTAATATTGTGTACATACGCAAGTATTTATGGTTTGTAATAATCTATGTACTCTACTTGGTAGCTTGTACATCATGTCGTATCGTAATCATATACATTATAATTTCATATAAAATATATAGCAAAAATAAGGTGGATTTATGTTGAGGAAATGTATGGCAAATCGTTTAGCGAGTCGATTTTCTTAGAACGTTTGAAATTAATTTATCATAAAGATTGCATTTGTATATATATTTTTTTGTATCATGAATTTAGGCTTTAAACAAAAAGAAAGATAACGTCGACTCTAAAGTATTAAAAAAGTAAAATTATAATCCTAAGTATGATATTAACATGGACACAAATAGGTAAACAAAAGACAATGTTTCGAAAAATAAATTAATGTTTAATAGATGATTTAAGTTATGTATACATATTTTATTTAATTTTATTTAAGGTATTGTTTATTTAAAGCGTATGATGCTTTTCAGATGAAACAATTGTAATTGTTAGTTTTTAAATTGAATTCGTAGGAACTAGTTTTTATAGTTAAAATTGTAGCTTTAAAATGTTGAAAAGATGACAAACTATTTTTTGGCTTTGATCGTTCTTTTTGGTATGAAGATTAACGAAATCATTTTGCTGACGAGGATGTCAAAGACAGAGCGAAGTGGAAGAGTAAAGTAAGGAAAGCTGACCCCATCACCATGTGAGACAAATAGCTAGGAAGAGAGAGAGAGAGAGAGAGAGATTAACGCAATCATTTTTAACAACTATTATACGAAATCATGATTATAATATTGTACTACGGAGTTCCTTAACTTGCTTGAAACTTATTTTAGAAAATCCTTTATTGAACGATTTTTTTTATTAAATGATAATGATTAAGTTATGCATTTTACTTAGTTCCAGAAATATTAGTATGTACATTCCTGTTAAGCTCACACACACATTAATAGGAGATATTCTGTATGGATTTTATACTACGCCTGTGCCCCTGCGATACCATATAGATAAAGACTAGAATTGCAGCCTTAGACAAACAGAAAATCCACCGAACGAGACAAATGCAATTCTTGAAAAAAATCGTAATTATTCCATGAAGATGGCTGAAGGAGCTCGCGGTCCACATAATGTTAAGTAGTCACCGCATAGACGGGCGTCTTGTCAGTTAAGTTAAGACGACAAAATCGTTCGTGAATTATGAGTATGAAATAATTGAATTAAAAAAAATAACTACCGTGAATATATGAGAAACGTTTAAATTGGTTTCTTATATTGGTTTACATTTACGGAAGAAATTTATTTTATCAATGTCTTGAATTCAACTTAGACGTACATGCAAATTAACCATTTCGAATTAAGCCCCAGATTTTACAGAAATATGGAGGAACTTTGGTTTTCTCTGTTTTATACCGTGCGTCTACAAGGTGTGCAGGTTATATATAATCTTACTCTATGAGGTGTGCTCTAAGGAAGTCTATGAGTTTATCCAGTTATTTTCATTTGGCCAGCACAACACTTCATTGCTATTTCTAGGCATTGCATTCGTCTAGAGTGTGTTTTAGTTTATTACATGTAAATATTCCTTCATTATGATAAGCCGCACCAGAAACTGGAAAAGTCCGTACTTACTTAAAAAATTGAATAACGAGATTCCAGTCACAGTGCAATCCCATTCTGCGACACGAGTTCAGTGAATTTAAGAGGGCGCTACTGTAACAAAGCATCAGAATTTTAAAAGAAGCTTCAAAATGTTTTTAATTGCCGAAAAATGTTACTTTTTCAATTGTTTGATTAGTTCATTTCATCACATCGCACGTATTCCAATTCTATTTTACTTCATTCAACTTTATTGGTGCTAAGTTTCATATTCGTTTTTATAACAAAAATGGGTTTAGCCTTTTGTTAGAAAAGATTTAATTGTATGAGATACTGTCCATTGCCTATGGGAATGAGCTGATTAAACAAAAAACTCTTTGGTTTTGATCAATTTTATGGTACTTAGGTATCGATATTTTAACAAAAAACATTTCCGGTTAGTGATTAAAATGAATATGATAATTCTAGTCAACATGAACATGATTGATATTCTTCATTATTATTTTTTCTGAAAATTAAATATTTATAGTTATGATTCTAAGGATTACCAGTTAGTGCAATAAACACTAATTTGACTTCTACATGTGCCAACACAACAGCTTCGTGTTTCCGTAATCAACAAATGAAGTTGACGTTTCACCGCGTAGCAAGTGAAAGTGTCACGTCGATGGAAATTCTTGTCAGAAGATTTTTTCCGGGCTAATAATCTCTATTTACTAGTGTACGGTGCGCATATATCTTTGAGTAATATTTTAATTAAAAATAATAATTTTCGGTGCTGTTTTATGTCATAAAAACTGTTAGAACATTTTCTCTAAAATAAATTGTGCGTTCGCAGGTCTAGGTTAATTCCGACGAAAATGGGTGTAAAGCCTGCTATTGGACGAAAAACTAACAAAAACCCTCCCATCTTCAGTCATGAATTTGTAATTCAAAATCATGCAGATATTGTTTCATGTGTTGTTATGGTTTTCCTGGTTGGATTGATGGTACAGGTAAGGAAAAACAATATGCCACGTATGTCCAATATTGTACCATATTTTGTGATTGGAATGTTGTTTTACGGTTGTCTATTATTGACTGAGCCTTTAATTCCAGTCTACAAGTCCCATTGCAAGCTTGTTCATCAGTTTACATCACAATGTCAGTGGAGTGGAACCAACGAGAGAAGCGCCGAAAGGCGAACCTTTTACTTATGAATCTGGGTGGAAAGATGCTTGTGCCGTGTTTTTCTATTCACTTGTCTGTATTGTGATGCATGCTATTCTTCAGGAGTACTTCCTTGATGTAAGTATACGAATTTAACAAAACTGAACAGATTGCAACAATACCAATATGTGTATTTTTAATCTTAATGAATTGGCTACATTATCAAAGTGTTTTTTCTGTAGTTTTTTTATTAAAAAAAATGTTTTAGAAAATTTCCAAGAAGTTCCACCTCTCAAAATCAAGGTTAAGTGCTCTCAATGAATCTGGACAACTTATAGTATTCCATCTCGTAACTCTGGTATGGGGTGGTGATGCTATACTCCGGGAAGGTTTCATTTTCAACATCTCTCAGCTTTGGGAAGGTTAGTAAAATTATTAGAATATTTTATTAAGAAAAAAATATATTTATTTAAAATGGGGTCTGCAGGATGTGGATAGTATGAAACCTGTCATAATGTTGAATCTTGTAGGAGGCCTATCCAACAGTGGATGTCTAGTCTTATAGTGCTGTTGATGAAAATTGAATAGGGATTCAACTCTTTAAAAGATAGAAATAGACTACAATTATGAACTACTGTTTAAAAAATATAATATGAAGCATTATCAAAAATTTAGCCATTAAGTAAACATTTATGAAGTAACTAAATGGTGCGTTGCATAATGTTATCACTTTTGTAACAAAGCGTCTTGTTTGTTCAAGTTTGTAATTCAATAACATGATCTAACAGAATATTGGTAATACATATCATCACAAGAGAAAGGTTTTGTTACTAACTTAAAAATAAGTAACATAGCTTTAATTTCCAAATTAAAATTTTAAATAAATTGAAAATTCAAAAAATCCCTATGGTTGCTTGGCAGAATAGGTTCTACTAGCGTAATAACATGATAATCATCAGAGATATTTGACAGGCTACCCAGTGCACCCAATGAGCTTCCTTCTCAAGTTATGGTGGGTTGTCCAAGCTTCCTATTGGTTGCACACAATCCCCGAACTGTACTTCCAACGTATAAAGAAAGATGAGTGGGCAGGACGCATACGAAATGCTGCTACAGCTTTTGGTTTTGTAGCATTGGCTTATGGATTTAAGTAAGTTTTCTGATTCTATTACAAAGACTTAAGACTTTGTGTAATTAAGTAAATTAATGAAATTAAATTAATCTGTCTAAGTACTGTCTAAAATAATCAGTAAATTATTTAATCGTTGTTCCGTATTAAAATAATTAAAATATTTGAAATATTTACTTAAGTGGATCTTTTTTGTTAATGCATGTTTATTATACTCTATACACATAATATAGTTTCCAACGCGTGGGAGTGTGCCTAGTTGTTCTTCATGCCCTGGCAGAATTTGTGGCACATTGCTATCGTCTCAACACAATCCTCAGGGGAGAACGTGAAGATTTCTTGGACAAGTGTAAGTTTAACAAAATATGTCATATACAAGTACATGTAGTTAATCCTGTGTTGATTAAATTTTTTTGTAAGCTCTGTACGATCATTAGGTGTGAAATTCACCATGTGAATATACCATTAAAGTTTTGCTGAATTCTGTAATTAATTTTCTTAATGTGGTTCTAAATGAGGCTGTAGAAACAGTAAATATTAAGCCTTACAAGTTGAACACATTTAACTATCGTAACACTGACAACATAAACTGTGAAGTAATTGAAGTGTCACTAATTGTATAAAAATAAACAATAATAATATTCTATGGAAACTTTACTCAAATATGAAGAGTAACATATTTTATTTACTTAGAAACAGCATAATTTGTTTAATAGCTCCTTGAAAATATTAAGTTAGCCTTTTTTTTTCAGTTCTAAGTCTTGTAAACGGGACAGTGTTCGTGATCGTTCGCTTGTTCTCTCTCGTCCTTGGAGTGCTTACTTTCTACTTCGGACTCGCCGGTGTCGCGCCCTTACTGGTCAGAGTGGCTGCTCTGTCCTTGCTTGTCTCTTTCCAGGTAATCACTGATGTTTGTAATAACAGTCACATGTATTGTTAAGTATAAGATTATCTTTGTCATTCTTAATAAAGTAGGTTTAATATTTTATGCACTTACCCTCTCATTACTTCTTTGGTGCAGAGTGCATTAGAAATAAATGATATTTAAAAAATCAAGTAAGGAGACAGGATCTTACATGAAAACAGTTTTAATTCGTACACCTACGATAAGGCTCATCCAAACACGCTCGCAGCACCCGCTCTCACACATACGGTCATACACACAAATTCTAATACAAACACGCTCACACACTTACGTTCACACATACTCACGCTCACACACAACGCTTAAACACACGTATCCACACACAGAGATTTGCTACCTATGGCGCTTAATTTACGTAAAATAAGCAAGAGGGTCCGAAACTAACAGTCTCGTGCTCGGAATAATATAATTCTGTTTTCATTTGCAGGTCTACTTGATGTTTAACTTCATATCTGAAGCTATTAAGCAGAGGCAAGAAGCTCGTCAGCAGGCTCTCGCGCGACCTCTCAAGAAAGAGAAGAAGGAAAAACCCAAAAAGGAAAAGGGTAAGGTTCCAATAATTTTGAATCAAACACTATAATACTACATCTCATACTTTATACCAGATTATATTATATTACTTTTTACTAAATTACGCACATATGTAGTCCAATTTGTAGAGCATGTGAAAAAATAAAAATGTTTTAATTTAATTTAATTTTCACTAGTTATGTTGAATCAAAACTACGAATTCATAGTTACTGATCCCAAGTTTTGTTCTCTTGCTTTGCTTGTATTAAATACAAAGTAAACAAGGCACAATATTTAGTTTATAATTTTTATGATTTTTATGAGATCCGATTTCTGGTGCTAATATATTGTGCTGATACGAAATAGATCATCATCATAGTCTGTTACTCTTCGCAGAACAGTCGTGGTCATGTGGAATCCTTGTTTATTATAGCCTATAGGAAATAGATAGCTTAATATATATGCGGAAGATTGATTTGCTTCTGATTTGGTTCCTGGTAGAGACATACTGGTGGTAGGACCTCTTGTGAGTTCGCACGGGTAGTTACCACTACCCTGCCTATTTCTGCCGTGAAGCAGTAATGCGTTTCGGTTTGAAGGGTGGGGCAGCAGTTGTAAGTGTACTGATACCTTAGAACTCTTATCTCAAGGTGGGTGCCGGCATTTACGTTGTAGATGTCTATGGGCTCCTGTAGAATTTTTCGAATGAAATACTTAACACATTTTCACGATTGATTTCCACGGTGAAGGAATAACATCGTGTAATAAAAATCAAACCCGCAAAATTATAATTTGCGTAATTACTGGTGGTAAGACCTCTTGTTGACGGGTAGGTACCACCACCCCGCCTAATTCTGCCGTGAAAGCTCCAGTAACCACTTAACACCAGGTGGGCCGTGAGCTCGTCCACCCATCTAAGCAATTAAAATACCTATGCTTTAAAGACCTCAACGAAAATTATTTCTAAGCCCGTTTGATTGTATTATTAAAAACGTGTTATTTATATTAAACAGTGAAAAAAGCTCCCGTCGACGAGTCTGACCTGCCCGAGGTGGATCAGAACACGAACAAGACCCTGAGGCAGCGACAGAACGCGACCGCTAAAGCGAAGTGAATCTATGGCTCCTCTACCTGTTGACATTAGATTAGTTTGTCGTCATCCCTTACGTAACTGAGTCTTTCCACTACAATTATTTAGTTCTTTATTAGAAATTTTAGAAATCGTGTTGTCTTAGCACAAATACGCAGCTGTACATGACTACGGAATACACAACTGATATTAGTAATGCGTGCGATCGTCATTCCAAGCCTGTGTGACAATTTTTATATATGTATAATTTAATTCGTGACATCAAACAAAACAAAGTGTATTGTCATTAAGGTATAGTGGATACAGGGTTGTAAAAATATCTACTAAAGTGTAAAATTGAATGTCTAGGATAAATGTTTATATGAATATATTGATGGATAAGACGGAGCATGTACTGTGTGTTTGTACACGTTAAATTAAGAATATTCCATGATAATTTTGCATTTTGATGTGAAATTATTTTCATTTTAATTTTATATTCAAAACCAGATAACTTATTTTTATATGATTTTTTTTACTTATTTTATCTATAAACGTTTTTTGTAAACAAATTTTAAAATTTATTTTAAATGTTTCAGCCCTTTTAAAATTTTAAGTTTCTTCAACACATCTATGTATATTTTATTAAATAGAAAAAAAAAACATTTTGTAGGTCTGTGTATAGTTACACTTGAGATTGAATTCATGTTTGATGTAACGTGTAAAATATGTATTAATGAAACTATTCCTAATGTGAAATTGTGCTCATAAAATTGTTTATATCATTTTCTTGATAATTGTCAATTTTGAAAGCTTAATGTTATTTTTATTTCGAAATAAATTTTTGGATGAATTCTGGTGTTTTTTTCTCTGTAAAATGTGATGTTTCTTTTTTCGTTTTTTACGTATTATATATTGTATATTAAAAATCATCAACTACAAATCTTTTTGCGGAAACGGCTGCATTTAGAAGCGATACAGCGACAAACGACTTCTCACGTAGTTACCTACTCATTTAAAGTAACCCGAATAACTCGTGCGGGTATTTTTTTTCTTGATAAATAACACAGAAAACTTTTATTCATACTAGAACGAGTACGAAGAAATTTTAACCATGATAAAATTTTAACGTTAAATTCTGTACATAATGAGTTAAGTTAGGACTATTTTAAAATAAAAATTCTAAATTTAGGCCTTCGGGCTAAAGAACAGAAGATTATTAATTCTAGAACAATCCCATTGTATCCTGTCATCTCAAACCAAATTACCAAACAGCATGTACCAAATTTTCTGAGCTCATATATCTTTCCAACGCCTGTTGAATGAGATAGTCATATTACAAATAAATGCTAGGTGCAAGCATATTTATGTTACCTAGTATACTAATTACAGTGTCAATGTTCTATATCAAAAGGTAAATGGATGAGAGAATATTTTTCAATCATTATCAGATTAACAACATGTTTAAATAATTAGAAAAACATGTATTTTACCATAATATCAGATCTTTTCCTACGAACTTGCCGTTTAATTTACACACAGTGAATTTTTTTTTTTTTTTATGTTTTCGCCTACACGATGATCGCTTACGATTTTCAAATGGAAACCTTTTTTCATCACAAATGACAATGCGGTTCAAAATCCCTTCGTTTCTGCGTCTATTAAGAAACGCACTGCATACATAAACACGTTTGTCGCGCTGGCGATTCTTCAGTTTGGGTACTACTTATCAAGTTTTTTTACCATGCCAATTTGACGCAAATGCATCAATATTGTTTAATAAGCTGGTGCTTACTCAATGTTAGATTGAGTATTGTCGCCTTTAATTCATCGTTGTTGACTGACGTCGTTGTAGATCAAAATGTCCATTTCGGAAGCATTCAACCAATAAGAAGTCATATGCAAATGTAGTGAAAAAAAACCTCTAATCGATAAACCAATGATTGATTTTAGATAATAGGATTCCAAATTTTTTAAATAAAATTCAGTTGGACTTAGCCTTTGCTTAGAATTTTATTGGCCAGTAAAAAGGTAGCTTCGTAAATACGTATTTTAAATATTAATTTAATGATAATAATAATAACGTAACAAAAACTATGTTTTTTCCTTTTCGTCATTGATAAAAGAACAACGTAATATACTAAAAATCGATTAAAAAATAAAATCTGCAGTCTACAATTGCTTAATTCGGCTTGTATGTAATAGGGTTGTGATTCAACACGGCTGGGTTTCACTGTCTTGTCGAATGTGCTCCATAAGGCATGACACATATTTCAGTTTCAAGGGTTTAAAAAAGCTGTTAGTTGAATGCAATTGAGGCATCGAAATTTTTACTCAAGGTCACGTGGCATATTCGTTGCGATGTCTCCGGCTATTGCCTACCACTTGATGGGTTGTGTGTACCTACAAATGTAATGTCATATAGGATAAATATAATTACTCGATATGAACATTTGGATAACGCTTCAGTACAATATAAAGACAGGCACGGGCGTATAAGAATGTAATTTTATATGAATGTATGTAAGTATGTATAAGAATGTAAAAGAAATTTGATGTTAGCATGCAGCTTTTAGTCATACCTAGTTACGTACTGACGCGTGTTTCATACACGGTCTCAGGATGTTACATCAATTAAATGTACTGGACGTTGGGCAAAATTATCATGTCGTCTAATGCATATGTATAAAAGCAATCAAATTAGATTATATTTATCACGCAAATTTGTAGTGTTTAAAATTATTCCATTAAAAGTTCCTAATCATTTAACTAACTACCACTCTGAAAGTCTACCTAATTTCATTGCGGTACTCGCTGTCTGCTGCTACAAAAAGCTTAAATAGATAATAAAATACGAAATCACTGTAAGTGGGTTAAATGAAATGGAGCTGACTTTCTGCAGCCTAACATTTTAAACTACGTAAAAAAACGATTGTATGGAAGCTTCCATTCAGTCTATAATAGCTTTTTGTTAGGAGGACCGTTATAGAGGACGCGCTCGCGATGAGATGCGCGCGAGTTTCAGTCAAGAAAGCGATAGCTATATAAAACTCTGTTGGAATGCGTCAAAGCTAGTTCTTGCCTCGTCTTTGCGGAGTTTCAACGTCCAAAATGCGAAGCCTTACTTTTGTTTTGTTAGCCGCGATCCTTGGAACCGCTCTCGCAGGTTAGTGCCCTTGTTTTTGCTGACAGCCCGTCATTCTGAGATGCAGTGATGTATTTTTAGTTAGTCAAGTGTTTTCTGTAGGACTTGTTTTGAGTCATTTAAGAATTTGCATGCATTAATTATTGATTTTTTACGAGTTTTCCATTATTATAAGGCATGATTTAATAGTCATTACACCTCTTATCGTGAAACGTATTGTAGTTTTATTACTAATCATATTACACACTGGAACATTTATTTCAATTTTACCGGATAAAATATTTGCCTTAATGGTCCATCACGATAAAATTACTGAGTAATATTGACTAGTAAATTCGAAGTTTATCAAATCTAAATTCATGCCTAAATTAAGCATTAAGGATTCGATAAAGACAATCATGACCTATCGAATTATATTTTTTATTATATACCGTCATCATTGAACAAGTCACGATTTAATTGTGAGGAACGAAACTAAACACGAAGATGATCTCAACATTGGTTCCTGTTATGAATAATTCGTTTCTTTTTTTAATTATTGCTTAATTTTTTTGTACATACGCTTTGTGTCTACAAGTTTGATTAGTAATGTTTTATAGAATCTTTGTAATGTTGTTTTGTATTATCGCAGAAATTATATGTCTTCTCATTAGAATACAATAATATACCTAGTAATATTGGGGCTAGCCTGGTGATAAACCTAAAAACGTTGCAACGGAATCTCTGAATAGCCAGGGATTCATCTTAACGAGGACTTTAACCCTCAGACACAGCCCACTGAGTCTCTCGCCGGATCTTCTCAATAGTATAGGGCGCGTTTCCGATCCGGTGGTAGATTCTGTACGTAAGCACTGTAAGCACGGTTCTTGCTAGGGTTCGTGTTAGCAACGTCATCAGGTTTGAACCCCGAGCTCACTTACTAGTTAAGGTTCCGCTGATATATCCTCTCAAGGCAAGGCTCAGCTTAGGCAGGAAAAAAAACGAGGACATAAAGCGTATTTGTTACTTTTTTTTTCTATCAGAATAACTATAATGCAAACGTAGAAAAGATATGAACCATATAATTCGTAGCGTCGGAAAATGTCTCTGTTAAATTGTGTAAGTCAAACCGTTGCCGTAAGGTCACTAACCTTGAAACGAAACGCATTTCCGTTGCATACGTGCAACATCACGAGATATGTCGTAACGTTAGAGTGACAGACAGAATGCCCTAGTGTAAATTGAGATGACTAAGAAAGCACAAATTTCTCATATTAGTTGATTTAATATTTCCAGGAAAGTATTATGGATTGATCCTATGTATTATTGTAAATTCAATTAATATTTTCAGTGGGACAATATTACGTGCCGCGTTCCTACTACACGATCGACTCCGATGGGCATGAGTCACAACCGGTACCTCTGCGGAGATTAAGGAGGTCGCTTAACCCTTACCCCTATTCGTACAACCAGGGAGCAGAAGGAAGTGCTGACGTCAGCGGAGGTGCTTGTAAGTTTAGAAAGATTTTGATTAATGTTTTGTGTTATAAGATTGGCAGGAGTTTAGAGGAGACTGAGTTTGCATACCTTATGTTCTGATTAATAATGATGTACTTCAATGACTTCAATGACGATGTGCATTGTCATTGAAGTCCGGTATTCACGTCACGCTAGAACATTGAAAAGTATCTCCAGTGTGTGCTTTCAAACTCTTCGCTGTTCTTGCGTTCTCAGCTATTTTGTCTCGAAAAAAAAACCCAACAGAAATGGAGAACAAAGCGAAAACCTGTGAAGAACATTTAGATCGGCGATTTTTCGTGTTTTCTCTGCTTTCTCGCGAGATTCTCGCGTGGATTCCGGAACACGCGAGAATTTTACCAAATAAAAAATATCTGAGTATGAACAGAGGTCCGGCGAAAGTTCTAATTAATGAACAATATTTTTTTTAATTATTTTATGTGCCTCTTACGACTCCCTTTTCGGAGCCCATAGACGTTATAATGTGAACATCACTACCATACTTGAAATGTGATTTGAAATTCATCATTTCATAGGAATTGCAGCCATCACTCAAATTAGAACATGTGATTGCTGCAGAAAAAGGCAGAGTAGTAGTGACAACGTATAAATGCTCTAGGATAAGATTAAGGAGGACAAAGGTAGAAAAAACTGGATAGGAAACCAAGGTGTGGAAATATTAGAAGCTCGAATAAGCTTAATATTTTACAATATGCAATGCTGAAACTGCAATAGTAGGTAGTTAGTTTTTCAAATTCATATTATGTCTATGAAATTTACCCCAAATTTTACTTCAAGACATATTTAAAAATATACAGCGCATTCAAATTCTCAATTCAACTCAAAGTTTACGCAAATAACACTGAATACATAGATTAATTAAAAGGAAGTCCTTGAATTAGCTACATCAACGGTCACGAATTTCTAAAGACGTCATTTACTTAATCAAAACTCTATTGTACGCTATTTGCTTAGCTGGTAATACTTTGGCAATATTTAATGGACTAGGTATATATTTATTATACTTACCATTTTGGTTTCTCGAATAACATTTTAATACATATATTTTTTGAGACTAATGGTAATAATAGTAAACATTTCTATGTAAAGTATAAAAAATTTCGATTTAAAAAATTTAGCTGTTTGAATTTGAAAAAACCACTGTTTCGAATTATTTTGAATTTCAATCCCTTTTTTATAAAACGTTAACGTATTATTAATAATATTAGTGCTTTATTTTTTAAGCTACGATTTCATCTCACCTTTTTTTTACCGTCATTATTATATTGTCATATTTATTTCCAAATAATGACAAAAAATCAATTTCAAGGGCGACGGTCGTAAAAAAGCAGAGATTTAACCGTCGGGAAAACCGAAGAAAATACATAATGTGTGTGGTTAATTTCAAATGTTTAACCGTTTACATGTACCCATCTCCTGTTTTACATAGCAAATGCGTTAACTGCACTTGCGGTCACTTCGGTATGCGTAGGTAGTCGGCGTGGACACACACACAAACATTCGAGATCGCTGTTAGTAGAGCGTCGGCGATAGTGAAACGTGTAGCGCAGCTTTAAAACTTTGTGGCTGTTCTTGTAATCAGTAATGCCGTTCGACTAACGGTTTCAAAATTCTCGAAACCTCTTTCATTACGCTTTATGTAGTTCAATTTGTCGCGATAAAAATGACAGGTGCTCACAAAAAATGAGTTGTTAATGATAGTGCGAAAATTTAAAGAATTCATAACTAAGTTTAATGTATTACTATATGTAATTATAATGTATATTTTAATGTATTTTATGTAATACTTCGACAGGTCAACAATACTACTATAAAGTACATAATTTGTGACTATTAATTTTGAATATTTTTGCGGTAAATTGCTGCAAGTGTTTTTTTTTTTTTTTGAAAAGGTGTGTTCTTTTGAACACTTCGCTTAAATTATTATGTTGTCATATACGCATTGGGAGTCATTAAATAAATTAATTCATATCCATTTTTTTTATAAATACTGAAGGCGAAATCTGGTTTATTGTATCAAAAAAGTAATTGTTCCTAATCGTTAAATTCTGAGGAAGTTTAAGTCAAGTTGATGCTATTGAAATCCTGATCACGCAGGAGCCAGTCACCGTCGGCGCCCTAGACACGTCCTTACGGATCCATTAATTAATTTATTAATTGTCCATCCGTTACCTTAGCATTAGACGCCTTCAGCTCTAACACTAGGAGCAGGCTTAGGGACCCCGGTAACCGTACTCGTCGAACTCGACAAAGAGGTCGACGTGCAACCTAACCCATGCATCAGGACGTTGAGTTTCTCGCCGGATCTTCTCAGCGGGTCGCGATTCCGATCCGGAAGTAGATTCATTCGCGAAGCTCTTGAGTTGTTAGATCTCCTTCGGAGGCGCTCGGGCGGCTGTTAGCAAATACCACTGCTTCTGGATCAGTCTTTGCTCGCTCACCTGTCCTGGTGAAACTGGAAAGGCCTCCGGGACGCCAGTAATCCTTGAATCATAAAAAAATCAATTGAAATTTTATTTTTTATTAGGTAAAAGTATTATTTTTCAGTCAAACAGAGATGATCAAAGAGAGTGCTGAATTTATTTTTCAGAAATTCTCTAGATCGTAAAATTCAATATCTAAAATTACGAGTATTAACGAAATTGTGTTTCACGAGTAGGTCATTATTAATATTTGATATTTGACAGAGAGACTACTTCAAGATACTTGACAAGATACTTCAGATAAATGTTTGAAAATATTAGGTTTCATACTTCAGTGGAAAATATGCGAACCATTTTTCGCTTGAATGAACATAGTAGTAGGTTTAAAAGAACTACGCGCTAAAGATAAAATTATATTGAGTTATCTATTTTAACGTAGTACAAGACAAAATTGGTTAATATGTATTACTGTAGTATAAAATATGCTTTTATTCAATGTTTCAGTAACACGTACAAAGGCGAAGGCACGTTCCCGTACTATAACAAGAAGCCGGGGCAGCGGTGTTGGCGATTGGGGTGTGCCCGCCGGAGAATTCGGAGATAATCTGAATGTTCTCAGGTATTTTTAAATAAATAATTTTATTTTAATACCGTATTTGTACTGTAAGCCAGCGATCGATATCACGGTCCACCTGGCATTTCGTGGTTACCGGAATCAACAGACATCACAAAGTAAAAACCGTTGCCCGCCTTGAAATACGAGGTCATACTCACAATTGTGTCCAACCATTGTTCTTGCCCTTCAAGAGGAATGCAAGTTCTTATCCGACCGCGGCGGAGCAACGCAAAGCCGCCGTCGACCGAAACAAGTCTTATCGGATCGCCCTCGGTCGGTGCTTTTAGGTCACACTCGGTGCTTTTAGGCCTCTCAAGTACCGGTCAACGTCCTCGTCGAACTCGTCGCCTACGACGCACTTTGTTTATATATATATGTATGTATGTGTATAGGAAAAAGTATAAATTTTCACGTCATTACGGATCCTCCTGATCCATTAACGGTGCTTTTAGGTACCTACCACAAGCACCGATCGCCGTCCTTGCCGAGCCCGTCACTTGCGACGAAGGGCTCGACGAGTAAATTAACCCACAGTCACAGCCCACTGAGTCTCTCGCCGGATCTTCTCAGTGGGTCGTGATTCCGATACGTTGGTAGATTCTGCAAAGCCCTACTCTTGTAGGGCTTGTTAGCAAATTCTCTCAGGTACCGTGAGCTCACCTACCCGACCGCGCGTAGCTGGAATAGCCTCTTAAGCTACCAGCGAATAGGTAGAAAAAAAAGAACGCAAGACTGTTTCGCAGCAGGAATAGGCAGGATGTATCCATGTGGGCTCATAATACGCCATACCATCAATATAATCTTGAATTCTCTATATTCTAAGCCTATTATACCTAATCTTTTTGAAGAATTAAATTTAAATAAATAATTAAACACTAATTAATAAGTCTAAGTAATAGCGAATTTCTAAGCAACAGCTCAGACATACCCTTGTCACCTTGTCATTCCTAATGCTCATGAGTAACGGTAACCACTCGCTATGCCTTATGGTCGTCTGTCTAATGTGGTAAAAAAAATACTTCTGAATTATTAGATACATTACACATTCAAAGTACAGTATTATACAGTAAAAGTTAAGGTTAATATCGTATTGATCAGAATTAGACATATCAGCTTAAACTGTGATGTCAGATGTCAGATTTTTTGTAAAGCTAACACTTTTTTCTCTTCACAGGCACTGAGACCGCAAATATATAGGTAAATTAAATAGCAAAAACATGGTGACGGCAACATACTTCCTTCTATTAAAATTGTATGAGCATTTTCGTTTATAAACTATTTTCCATCAGTTGCAAGCTTACACCATCCATTATAGATGTGCATCGATGTTTTGCAACTGCCGGAAGATTTATTTATTGAATAAAACTAATATTCTAACTTTAGTAAAATTTTAACGAACTAAATCTTTTTTGTGACTTTTCTCAATAAAAAAATTTTGGTCTAAATTTGTTTTTTATTTTCTTCACATTTACATTACATTAAACACGTGCCTTTTAGCGCTGTAATGGCGAACGGCTACGTATCTCGCTTTGGGAAATCATTAAATAAAAACTGTTGTTTGAAAGTCAAAAGTACTTCTGGTTTATATCTAACCTGTAGTTCTAGAGGCCTAGACTTGTGTTTTCGTTTGTGTGCGAAAACTATTCGATTTGTCTACATTGGATGTTTCAGGAGGAATGCCTGATGCTAATTGATTTACAATCTAAAATGATAGGTGATTCTATCAGTCTAAAATTATTATTATTATGTTACATTGTATGTGTATGTATATTTATAAACGTGTATATGTAAGGAATTTGTGTATGTATATGTACGTATGTGTGCGTATGTGTATATACATGTACCGGCAATGTTCAGAATACCTAAAACGTTAAGATAATCGTAAAGTAATCGGTAATTTCGTTCTTAGCGATAAGACCGCCAATTGTAGTTTTTTTTTTGTATTTAATGTTTCGCATTGTTTTTTTTTGTTTGTGTACAATAAAGAATACTCTCTCTCTCTATTTCTACTGTGAAGTAATCATAAATTCTAGTTTGAATTTCAAGGAGTTTGATAGTCCGCCAATGAAGGGGCACTGCGATCATGGCCGACAACCCACAGGCGTCCAGTGGGGGCCGTTTGGTGGGAAGATAAGTGTGCGTAAAGAATGCGTTGACTTTACCCCCAGCCTGCCTCGAATGAGATCCGCCTCATCAGTACTGAAAAATAACTTTTTTCTAAGCTTTTTTTGATATTCCATTAATTTGATAATTTGTAGGCATCAACCAGTATTTAAGATGCTAGAATAAGAAGCATTTCACATTCAACGGTCCAAGCTACGATACTCGCCTATGTTGTAAAAGCCCGAAACATAATAAATAATATGCGAGATTGATTGATGATTCTGACTCGGAATTAATCCTGGATCGCGTGTAACAGAAGATAGGGTGACCACTGAATTGACCGACAGATGATATTTAATCCACAGGTCAAGGACGAGACAGACCTAAGGACTTGAGGTTAAAATGAATGTTAAAATTGTACATTTTTTGCGTGTTTGATTTTATTACGCCATGCTATTCCATTGAGGAAGTACCTAATTCGTGAACATGTTTTAAGACGTATTTCATTAGAAAAATCGGTATCAGCCTACTGGATTCAAAAATCGGCATAGTTGGATTGCTCGACACGAGTACGCCAAGAGTCTTATCATTTAGAACACAACAACTTATAAATTACGAGTTTATACCGACTTACATCACCATTATTGCTTGCTATTTTCTGTAACTTATCTGTCACGCCTTAAAGATATGACTAGAAAAGCTAGTGCTGCTCTATATGGTATACGGACGGTAAAGGACGACTAGTCTTTTGTGTACGTTTGACGATCTGTGTGAAATTTGCCATTAACCCATATCTCATAAAAATACTAGATCGATGTTTATCAAAATAACTCATTTGTAGCTTCTTCAGACGTTTAAAACACTTTCTGATACCTCTTTGTGTACGTGGGGAACAAAGGGAACAAAGGACATCATGAATATAATGTCTGTATGATTCAAGGCTAAAGAGTAAGAAATTGTCTGATCTTCAAAATACACGGTTAAATACAAAATACACTCAAAATGTATGGTAGGCAGCGGCTTGGCTCTGCCTCTGGTATTGCTGACGTCCATGGGCGATGGTAACTACTCATCATCAGGTGGGCCGTATGCTTGTCTGCCTACAAGGGAAATAAACAAAAACACGAAGTACATACATCCAATACATTTAATTTTTTTGGTCAAAACTTTCTGGCAAATATTTTGAAAGACACAATTTTTATGGTTTTAAACCTTCGATCAACTATAGTAAGTTTTAAACTGAGCACACTTGTAAACTGTTATAAAATTTCGCAAAAGTTCAAATTAGTTAGAAGCGTTAAATTTTATTCATGTCGCATGTCGTTGTATGGCGATGTTTGAACAGGTGTTCCTCTAAAATATCCTTACAAATAACAAAATTATGGAAAGTTGACCATATTTTAATGTATTGATAGTATTATTACATTTGCTAGTATTTTAGGAATAGATAAAACTCTAAAAGAACCACTGATGCATTTTTGACTTATATTTATTGAAAGATTTTATATTCCTCTTTGCCAGAATAGCTTTTGAGTCTTAATGGAAATGCAATGAAGACGAAGGTATGAAATAAAAATAATAATTGTATATTGGACAACTTTTATTTATGTGTATTTGCTTTAATAATATAGGTACTCGTAAAATGATATTTACCTGTGAAAATATCAATTATAAGTACAGAGAGCTTTCTTGTATAGTATAATATAACTATAAGTAGTATAATAGTAAAACCCGTACTTTTGGCCATGTAGTTATGACATATTATAATAAATGTTAATACGCTTAAACATAATGATAAATAAAAACGCACTGATTGTAAAACAATAAAATAGCAACGGTACTTCAACTTCAAGGTAGCTAATCAGAAGGATCATTATATTTATTTTCTTTTTTTATTGTCATTGTAGACAGACGAGCATACCGCCCTACCTCACGGTAAGTAATCACAGTCGTTCACAGACATCATCAATGTCAGTTGTCTTCCGACAATCCAAGCCGCTGCCTACTTTATTTTTATATTTAATGATAAAACTGAAGCAAAGTGAAATCCATTAATAAGTCCAAGAAATATTGAGATTGTAGCGTTTGATTAGGGTTGCTTTAAGGGTTTACCATTTTATGTCTTCGTTTTGTCGAATTTAGGAGAGTTTTAAATAATAACAGTATTATTACATCACAGGATAGGATAGTGTTATTTCGTTACAGTACTATTTATGAGGCAACTCTAATCTGTATTGTGGTTTGTTGTATTGATAGCCAGGTTGAGGGTTAGGTGAAGGTGACGGCATGGGTGCTGGGGCTGGTGCCGGGAAGGGCGCTGGTGCAGGAGCTGGTTGGATGGCCGGCACGAAGGGCGGGGTTACAATCACAGCGTCGTCAGTAATCGCTACATCACGACCGGACGGAGCGAACCTTTGCCCAAACTGTCCAGGCTGCGGACGCTGGTAAAATTGTGGCGTCTGATAAAACTGTGGCGTCTGATAAAATTGCTGAGGCTGATTCCCAAAGCTCGATGCACTCGGTGCGCCGTATACGCCAGATAAATCGTACTGGTTCGGGACCCCATATTTGGTTGGTAATTCCATGCGCCCGAACATAGTTTGTAAGAACGGAAACTTGTTCGTTAAATGAGACCACAGTCCAGACCCGCCGACTTGATTAGATCCTTGATTGCCCCAGAACAATCGTTGAGATTGCTCCTGTCCTAAGTTCGTGTAATCGAACTTATATGGATCATTGGGGCCGATATTGTACGGAGCATCCCTCTGCAGATTGTATCCTACGGCACTGCCTGCAATTGAATTTTAAAAAAAATATTGACTTTAAAATTAACAATAAAATACGCAAATACATAGACAATTCATAGAAAAATTAAGTTTACATTTCACGTACCGAGAACAAAGCACAACACAAGAGCAACGGACGCATTCATTATCGTACGAGTGACTGATCGACGACTGCGCATCATTATTGTCCGTCTTTGCATTTATACCACCTCTATTTACTCCTAAAAGTGGACCTTGAGGTAAAATACTCGTAACCTAATATTGAAAGTGTGAGGTAATAGTGCGGTAGTGGCTCACCCACTACCCAGGTCAAAACGCCGTGGACAATAGGTGCGACATCTAGGTGAGTCGTGCGACGCCGCGCCGCCTCGTGTTCACGCACAGGATGTACCGAACTGTGTTTTTACTCGCAACTATAATGCGCCGTCGACAATGGTGTAATACCTTAAGAGATTCGATATACGTAATGATGTGATTTTTAATGAAAGTGAAATTAAAATGGATATTCGATGTCGATATTCAACTACATATAGGGCGTTTTCAATAAAAAAAGTTTGTATATTAGTCGGAAAAGGTTTTATTTTAAGTTTATGATGATAGGCTGCTATCATAATAGACTTCGAAACGTGAGGAGTCCTTATGCTTACAAAGTCTCAATCGCCTACTCTTCAAAACCATAACGCTTAACTGGTTCGAGGGAGAAATATTTGCAACACTGGTTCCACAGGTACATTAATTATGCAAGCTTAAAGCTTTGGCCCTGTTACAAGATTGTCGTCCTGTAATAACAATTGTAGAAGTCGTTCGTGAATTTATATTACCCTATAAGTATATAAGTATGTCAAAGCTAGCTTACAATATGCCGTACTACTCATGTGAGTTTTTATTTCATTTTAGCATGTTGATTCTTCATAGTAAAAAAATGTGACCTACCCGAATTGAATTGCATTTAGGCACATGAACATGAACATGAGTACATAATATTTTTCAAAGGGAATTGTTTGACGAATTGTGTAAATTGGTCCTATCATCTCCTTTTGCACCATCCGTTACTGGAACAGAGTTCATACCTAGTATCTGGACTATCTGGGAAAACTACTAAATGGGATTCCCTCCAAGATGCTTTCTAAGCGTTATGAAATATCCTTCTTCGAGCAATGTGTGAACAAATTTCCCGGCTGTGTCTTGGCATTGCTGTTCACTGTATGATCGTCTACCCTCGCAGACAAAAAAGCACAGTACGCAGCAGCTTATTTTCACTACAAAATGGGTTGATCTAAAAACCATGGAAACAAAGTAAAAATCTATCTACTAGTCGGCAACTTATTTGTCAAATTCACTCAATCAACTAACGATAGACCAAGACTTTGAAAAAAAAATTGTATTTAGAAATATTAAAACAAAAGAGCTATGTATATAAACACCCTGTAGATGATAAACTTCTGTGAAAAATGCATTGGGACGCGTGTGCGCGTGTTTACTCAACATAATCGGCATTATTCATAAGATAACCAGGTACGTATTTGTCTTCGGCGGTTGTCACGGTATTGTCGACGGTAGAAACGATTTGCGAAATGTTGCACAATACCTTTACATGTTTCACATACGTTCAATACAGGCTTCATTCGAAATAGATTAGATTACAAAAATATAAACAGTCCTTCCTCTTTTTCTAAGGCAAGGCGATAGTTTGTCATACTTTTTGCTGACATCATTTACTTGTTGTCTTAAGTATGTACCTCAGATTAGGTACGTTAGGTTTTGTTTTAACATAATGGAACACATAAATTAGTCTTGTGCTTGGAAGGAGTCACTTCAGATTTGTCAAAAAAAAAATAATTAAATGCAAGGCTTCCAACCATAGTTCAAGAAGATTGGGTAATGTACTCGAGTGTTAGACCTTAACTGTGACCCAAAAAAATATTTTAATGATAAAACTTTAAGACCTCAAATTCATTCATGTAGTTTCGAAATTAAATTTTTATTTCAAAATTTCTCGTTTAAAATAACACAATGAAGGTATAATATATTCGATATGTCAATTAGATTAATTTGTCAAACAATCTTTAAGATCTTGAGAATATAGTTATTTTGATTAATGTAAATTTTTGAAGGCGATTTGCATTGTTTACGTTGACATAGTTTAGCTTCTGTGTTATATAAAAAATATTACTTTGAAACTACATTAATCTTGTATCCATTTAAAGGTCAATATTAACAATATTACTGGTGAAATTCAATTTATTGCTGTAACTAGCGGCCCTCTCCGGCTCCGCTCGGGACTTTAACAAAAATTTCATCGATATTTGACGTTGTTATCTTTTTAAAATAAAAGAACACTTACTGCGGCACAACTATAATAGTTAGACATATGTTGTCGCGACACTTTTTGTAAATAATAATGTGTTCTACAAAGTCGTAGTATATGGTTTTATTCTATCATCAATAGTTTTCGCAGGGCACGCGATTTAAAGAATATTTTAGGTAATTTTTTTACACCTTGGGTTACATTATTGGAGTTTTAGTAAGGACCCCTAATTTTTTGAATTAAAAAAATTATGGCCTATGTCACTCGGGAATAGTGTAGCTTCTAAACAGTGAAAGAATTTTTCAAATCGGTTCAGTAGTTTCGGAGCCTATTCAATACAAACAAACAAACAAATCTTTCCTCTTTATAATATTAGTATAGATGAATATAGAACGAACGATGTTTATTTTACGAATTTCGAAAGTTTAAAGCTTTTTCAAGATTTATAGCGATTATGCTGTCAAACAAATGTTATTATCTTTTAAAGACTTGTTTTGTGATTATTGCTACATATTTTTAGGTGAATAGGTATGTCATTCAACGACCCATAGCTTGAGGTCGTTTTGGCGGGAACGCGAGTAGCGAAGTTAAGTTAATTGTGAGTTAAACGTGTAACAATGGTGGTTCATTAATCGTTTAGCATCTGTTAAAGTACATTAGTGGTGCGGGCCCTCTCGGAGGAGGCCGTCTCCGGGGGTGGGGTGGCTTTGGCGGTGTCACTCGATATCGCCAATGCTTTTAACACCCTGCCCTGGTCCGTGATAAGGGGAGCGCTTGAACGACACGGAGTGCCCCCCTACCTTCGCCGGCTGGTGGGTTCCTACTTGGAGGACAGATCGGTCACGTGTACCGGACACGGTGGGATCGTGCACCGGTTCCCGGTCGTGCGCGGTGTTCCACAGGGGTCGGTGCTCGGCCCTCTTTTGTGGAATATCGGGTATGACTGGGTACTGAGGGGTGCCCTCCTCCCGGGCCTAAGCGTAANGAAAAAAAAAAAAAAAAAAAAAAGTGTGCAAAAAATAAACAAAGTCGTTGGACGTGGCTTCCCACGTTCCTCCAAAAATCCACACTGAAATATAAATAAAATGGAGGGTACCATTTTATTGGGACGCTACTTCATTTCATCTCATCTAGTTTCGTTTCATATAATTCAATTTCGTCCTGATGGATTATAATTTCATATAAAGTAACTGCACCTTATTCCGCTCATTTGAGGTATTTATAATAAATAGGTCGGGGAAAAAGTCTTTTCGCATTATAGTATGAATGAACTTGTAATAAAATCTCTTTGGCTATTTGTATTTGGCTGGTTTTGGTATCCTTAAAAGTTTAAATTTTAAAGAAGATAATTCCAAATTCATTTTTTTTTATTGCTTTGATGGGTGGACGAGCTTACAGCTAACCTGGTGTTAAGTGGTTTCTGGAGCCCATAGACATCCACAACGTAAATGCGCCACCTACCTTGAGATATAAGTTCTAAGGTCTCAAGTATAGTTACAACGGCTACCCCACCCTTCAAACCGAAACGCATTACTGCTTCACGGCAGAAATGGGCAGGGTGGTGATACCCACCCACGCGGACTCACAAGAGGTCCTACCATCAGTAATTACGCAAATTTTAATTTTGCGGATTTCATTTTTATTACTCGATGTTATTCCTTCACAGTGGAAATCAATCGTGAACATTTGAGTACGTATTTCACTAGAAAAATTGGTACCCGCCTGAGATTCGAACACCGATACATCGCTCAACACGAATGCACCGACGTCTTATCCGTTAGGCCACGACGACTTCAAAAGGACAATTAGGAAAATGTATGATTTTTATTTATTTTTCGTACTGTCGAGATGAGTGAATCTAATGAAGAAATTCGATACATTTTAAAATTTTATTACAAAAAAGGTAAAAATGCAATGCAAGCCGCGAAAAAAAATTTGCAATGTTTATGTTTATAACTAGTCAGGTCATAAGTATTGTCACACAGTAAAAACTTTTCTTTTAGAATGCTGGCCACAAAAAAGTTTATTGAATTCGGATTTCGAATTGTTCATGAAAATAAAAATGTATACTTTTAGAATTTTACTCATTTTTAAATATGGAGTGGACGCTTAAAGAAGACCGTGTTGCAGTTATTGCGTTGCATCGTTGCGGTTACGCACCAATTCAAATTTTTAACATACTGAAAAATTTGAATATAACCAAAAGATTCGTTTATCATACCATCAAACGATACAATGAAGACTCTAGTGTAGATGACAGGTCAAGAAGTGGTCGCCCTCGGTCTGTTAGGACTCCAGCAGTGATAAAAGATGTGAAGGCGCGAATTCAAAGAAATCCCAAACGTAAGCAGAAACTATTGGTCCTTCAGATGGGGTTAAGCAGAACCACGGTGAAAAGGGTGTTAAATGAAGACTTAGGGCTTCGGGCATATCGAAGAAAAACAGGACATCGTTTGAAAGCTCGTCTAATGGACCTGAGACTGAAGAGATGCCGCGCTTTGTTGAAGCGGTACGCGGAAAAAAAATATCGGGAAATTCTTTTTTCGGATGAAAAAATTTTTACCGTAGAAGAGAGCTACAACAAACAAAATGATAAGGTGTACGCACACAGTAGTGAAGAAGCGAGCAACCGTATTCCGCGTGTCCAACTAGGTCATTTTCCATCCTCGCTCATGGTATGATTGGGAGTTTCTTATTGGGGCTTAACAAAGGTACATTTTTGTGAGAAAGGTGTAAAAACGAATGCAGTTGTGTATTAAAATACAGTCCTGACGAACCTTGTGGAACCTGTTTCTCATACCATGTTCAATAACAGGCACTGGGTATTCCAAAAAGACTCGGCGCCAGCTCATAGAGCGAAGAACACACAAGACTGGCTGGCGGCGCGTGAAA